TGAGCCGAGATCGCGCCATTGCACTCCAGCCTGGATAACAAGAGCGAAACTCCGTCTCAAAATAATAATAATAATAATAATAATAATAATAATAATAATACAATAGGCCGGGCACGGACTTATGCCTGTAATCTCAGCACTTTGGGAGGCCAAGGCGGGCGGATCACAAGGTCAAGAGATCGAGACCATTCTGGCCAACATGTTGAAACCCTGTCTCTACTAAAAAATACAAAAAAAAAAAATAGCTGGGCGTGGTGGCTGACGCCTGTATTCCTAGCTACTTGAGAGGCTGAGGCAGGAGAATTGCTTGAAGCCAGGAGGCAGAGATTACAGTGAGCCGAGATTGTGCCACTGCCCTCTAGCCTGGCGCCTGGCAACAGAACAAGACTGGTCCCCCCCCCAAAAAAAAAATACAGTAGGCAGGGGGTGGACACATTCTGGAATATAAAGTCTAGAAGTGGTGCAATATGGCTGAGATTGTACCATGTCGAAAGTATATTTTGCTGTTCGTGATGACGCATTGCAGCGGTAACTTAGGAGGGTATTTATTGTTGGTGTTTATCAATCAATGGCTTCTCAAATGACCTTCCTTTTATAGCTACTATGTAGATTCTATGTACAGAACCAAGCAATAGCCAAGGCAAAGAGAAGGGGAGGTGGCTTAAGTATAATAAGATCTGGTGAGTCATACTAAAGACATTTTTGGCCAGTGCAATGGCTTATGCCTGTAATCCCAATACTTTGAGAGGCTGAAGCAGGAGGATTGCTTGAGCCCAGGAGTTTGAGACCAGCCTGGGCCACATAGTGAGACCTCATATCTACTAAAAATTTAATTAAAAAAATAAAAGATATTGGCCAGGCATGGTGGCTCACACCTGTACAAGCCCAGCACTTGGGGAGGCTAAGGCAGGCGGATCACCTGAGTTTGGGAGTTTGAAACCAGCCTGACCAACATGGAGAAACCCTGTCTGTACTAAAAATATATAAGCCAAGCGTGGTGGTGCATGCCTGTAATCCCAGCTACTTAGGAGGCTGAGGCAGGAGAATTGCTTGAACCCTGGTGGTGGAGATTGCGGTGAGCCAATATCGTGCCATTGCACTCCAGCCTGGGCAACAAGAGCAAAACTCCATCTCAAAAAAGAAAAAAAAAAAAAAAAAAAAAAAAAAAAAAAAAAAAAAAACAAAAAAAAAAAAAAAAAAAAAAAAAAAAAAAAAGACATAAGAAAGAAGGAGGGAGGGAAACAAGGTCTCTCTCTGTTGTCCAGAGTGGTCTCGAACTCCTGGGCTCAAGTGATCCTCCTGCCTCAACCACCCAGAGTGCTAGAATTACAGGTGCTGGCCACTGCACCCAGCCTAAAAGATGCTTTCATTCTCAAAGGGCGAAAGGGGTGATGACAGGTCATTAGTCTTATTTATGGATAATAGCTTTCAGAATGGCTTTCTCATAAGCATTTAGTTTCCTGAGCTAAGAGAATGAAGCATATGACCTGTAGCTGAGCCGCTGAGTGTGCCAAATCTATCATGTACTTACAAAAGAATTTATTTTTGAAACAGATGGGTGGTAGACAAGAAGTGGGAGTAAATGTACAGGTTGAGTATCCCTTATCTGAAATGCTTGGGACCAGAAGTGTTTCAGATTTTAGATTATTTTGGATTTTCGAATATTTGCGTTATACCAGTTCATCATCCCTAATCCAAAAATCCAAAATCTGAAATGATTCAATGAGCTTTTCTTTTGAGTGTCAGATTGGTCGTCAAAAAATTTCAGATTTCCGAATTAGGAATACTCAGCCTGTATTGTAAGACAGGGCATATCTGTTTGGGAAAAATAAATAGTAGAGTGAAGGAATGCTTGTTAGAAAGCTAGGATAGGAGAGCATGGAATGAATCTCCGTCAGGCTGCCTCCTATTGGATTGACCCACTTCATTGGATTGATTTATGAGGTTGAGCAAGCGTTGGACACAGATCCTCTGACCCACTATTTCTGGCACTGTCCCAGATTTTCAAGGGAAGTGGCACACTACATGTGCAGTGTTAAGAGGTTTAACTTTTATGATGCTAGTTTTCATGAGGATTTATGTTTTCTTTAATGATAAGTGTATCTGGAATGAATGCCCATCCTGTGAGTCATGCCAGTGCTGCTAGTGGCTTTAATTTCCTATTCTCAGAAGAGAAAGAAGTTGCTAATTCCAGGAGTGAACAGCAGATGTCACTGCATCTCCACTTACTAGGGTCTGACTCCACTGTTTGGTTACAACCAGTTCTTAATACAGCTCCCAAACCACTAAGTTTATGTTTTTATGGCTGTGTAATACTCTTAAGATTCCCTTCTTCTTCTTCATCTTTTTTTTAAAGATAGGCTCTCACTCCGTCGTCCAGGCTGGAGTTTAGGGGAATGATCTCAGCTCATACAACCACCACTTCCCAGGGTTCAGGCAATTCTCCCATCTCAGCCTCCTGAGTAGCCGGGACTGCAGGTGTGCACTACCACACCCAGCTAATTTTTGTATTTTTAGTAGAGACAGAGTGTTGCCATGTTGGCCAGGCTGGTCTCAAACTCCTGACCTCAAGTGATCCACCCACCTCGGCCTCCTGAAGTTTTGGGATCACAGGCATGAGCCACCGTGCCCAGTCAGGCTCCCTTCTTTTGATATACAGCCCAAATTAAAAATTTAGAATAAACACAACCTAAGAGAGTTTCCCTTAGTTTCCCTCACTACTTGTTTTTAGCGTTTGTTCTAGGCTTATATATTATCTATGTTTCTGGATAGCTAACTGATGGAATGTATTTACCTTTTTTTATCAACCTTTCAACAGTTATTTAGGAGCCTAGACAATTTTTCATATTTGTTTTCAGTAGGGCTCACACAGTTAAAAGCTTCTTGGCCTTTCTGTGTTTTGCTTTTTGAAAACCTTCCAGCAGGAATGTACTTGTCACTGTTCTCTGGAGTGAGGTGCTGAACATCAAAGGGAACCACTACTTTCTTTTCTTATTTGAACCCTTAGCTTTGGCAGTTGAGCAAATCAAGAACTGAACTATGACCAAATGTCCCGTGGTGCATGCATCTTTTTAAAAATACATTTATGGTTTAAGTGTGGATAGGTGGTAGGGCATTCCCTATATAGCCATGTAATGTTTAATGACATTTCAGTCAATGATGGTAGTCTCATAAAATTATAATGGAGCTGAAAAATTCCCACTACCTAATGACGTTGTAGCTTCCATAAATTGTAGTTTATTTTTTAATGAATTTGGTGTAGCCTAATTGTAGAGTGTTTATGAAGTCTACATTAATGTTGAGTAATGTCTTATACTGCCACACTAACTCACTGACTAACCCAGATCAACTTCTAGGCTTGAAAGCTCCATTTGTAGTAAGTTCCCTAGACAGGTATATCATTTTTTATCTTTTTCATAACATATCTTTACAATTCTGTGTTTAGATAGCTTTTTTTATTTTTTAATTTTTTTTTTTAAATTTGAGACAGAGTCTCACTCTGTCACCTAGACTGGAGTGCAGTGGCGCAATCTTGGCTCTGCCTCCCAGGCTCAAGCAATTCTCCTGAGTAGCTGGGATTACAGGCGCCTGCCACCATGCCTGGCTAATTTTTGTATTTTCAGTAGAGAGTCAAGAGTTTCACTGTGTTGGTCAGGCTGGTCTCAAACTCCTGACCTCAAGTGATCTGCCTTCCTCAGCCTCCCAGAGTGTTGGGATTGCAGGTGTGAGCCACTGCCCCAGCTGTAATTTTTTTTTTTTTTTTTTAAGACAGGGTGTTGCTCTGTTGCCTGGGTTGGAGTGCATTGGTGCAGTCACGGCTCACTGCAGCCTGTACCCCCTGGGCCTAAACGATCCTCCCACCTCTGTCCCCCAAGTAGCTGGGACTACAGGCAAGCACCACTGTGGCCAGCTAATTTTTAAATTTTCTTAGAGATGGGTCTCCCTGTATTGCCCATACCGGTCTCAAACTCCTGGGCTCAAGTGATCCTCCTGCCTGAATCTCTCAGAGTGCCTAGAATTACAGGCATGAAAAACTGCACCTGGCCTTAGATACGTTTAGATACACATATACTTACTGTTGCATTACAGTTGCCTACAGTATTCAATACAGTAACAGTACAATAACATGCTGTACAGATTTGTAGCCTAGGAACAGTAGGCTATACCGTATAGCCTAGGTGTGTAGTAGGCTATACCATCTAGGTTTGTATACTCTATGATGTTCACTCAGTGATGAAATTGCCTAATGATACATTTCTCAGAACATATCTTCATTAAGCAATGCATGACTGTATGACAGAAAAGCAAAGCAGTTGTTAAATTGGGTATTTTAGAAAGTCTGAGGCATACCGAATTCTTGGTGTCTTTTGGTCAAATAGATTAAGAAAATAGGGTGATAATATCTTCCATTTTGTCTAGATTAGTGCTGGTCCTTTGTAATTATTAATAGGCCCCTCTTTCACTCTCATTTGTCCTAGTTTGGACAGCGTATGGTCATTCTAAATCGCCCCCAAAGGAAAGTAGGTTGATAAAGTTGCAATTCTCATAATTGTAAGCATTTTAAAACTCCAGAACTATGCCTGCCCTCAATTTTCTGAGTTAAATACATGCAAAATAAAGCGAAAAACCACAAAGAGTTGTTGATTCTAGGAACAGTAACTTTTAGATTTCTATCGATTGATCGTTGTTCTTTGAAATAATGATTTCCAAAGATGACTGTGCATTGGAATCAGCTGGTAGGCTTTTTATAAATAGAATTTCAAGGATCTCACCACAGGCCTCTGCTGGATTTATACTAGAATTTGAATTTGGCATTACCAAAAATGTTGCTATGCATGCAATGCAAATGTATTGGGCAACTTTGTCAGCAAGTTTTTAAAACTAGCATATAAAAGAATGTTTCATTCTATGGTTTGGATAGTGTTTGGGGTTTTTGGTAGTAGCTGTCTTGGGCCTTAAGGGTAAGCCTGGCATTGATATGAGTTACCTTTTTGTTTCAGATGTCATCTGGGTGATTCTCAGTGTGGAGGTGGGTGGACTTTTAGGAGTAACGCAGCAGCTGTCATCTTTTGAAACGGAGTTCAACACACAGCCACATCGCAAGGTAGAAGGAAACTTCAACCCATTTGCCTCCCCGCAAAAGAACCGACAATCAGATGAAAACAACTTAAAAGACCCTGGGGGTTCTGAGTTCGACTCGATCAGCAAAAACACATGGGCTCCTGCTCCTGACCAAACTGAGCAAGACCAGGATAGACTGTCACAGAACTCTGTAAATCTGTCTCCCAGCAGTCACGCAAACAACTTATCAGTAGTGACTTACAGTAAGGTAGGTGCCCTTGGAGAAGAGAAGGGGTAGGTGGAGGGCCTTGGGACTTGTGATACCCGCTTCATGGCAAACCTAGAATCCTAGACTGCTGCTCCCTGGAGGAGGTTCTTTAAGACTGCTTAGCTCTCCTGCCAACAGCAACAATGCAAAAACCTACTCCTTTGTCCCTTTCCCCACCCCCGTCTTCATGTCCTGTGGATGTTGCGTCATCCACATTTATAATTTACTCCTGTCTTTCTGCTATGGTTTGGGTGTTGAAAGAGTAAAGTTCTTTACCTTTAGTATTTAAAGAAAAAGAAGGTTGCTCAATTATTTATTCTAAATATTGTTGTTGGGCTTTATTTACTCAGTTTGCATGTCTTCTTGTTGATGTCTTTTCAGTCTTTTATGGCCCATCGACTTCCTTATCCACAACCCAGAGAGCCCCAGTGATATTTTTACTTTTCAAATGTGGCGAATAAGTGAGAGAATTGTTTGTTAACTGTGATTTTAAATATTCTGATTGTTGTGAGGTACCCTTCTAGGTGTTTGATTTCTTGATCTGTTTTTCTCTATGCCAGTTGATTAAACAGTGTCTTCACTGTTTGTCTGCTAAGGTAATGATGGTTCCCAGTTGTTGGTTTTGGTTGGCTGAATAAAGTCGTGATGCTGGGAGTTCATTGTTGTAGGTGGTTCATATAGTGGAGTCCTGTGAGCATTCCTGGGCATTCTTCTCTGAATAATAATGCTGCATATTAAGCCCAGTATCCTACCATATTACCACATAAACTGCTATGTCTGTCCTGGCTTCAATTCTTGTTGGCCTTCACCCTAAATTTTAAAAATAAAGTTCATGTTTATTTGAGGGGCAAGTGACTAGTTTGTAAGAATGATATTTTTCTGACCAGTAGTTTGTTGTTTTTTTATTTTTTCCAAGATGGAGTCTTGCTCTGTTGCCCAGGCTGGAGTGCAGTGGCACAATCTCAGTTTACTGCAGCCTCTGCCTCCTGGGTTCAAGTAGTTCTCCTGCCTCAGGCTCCCAAGTAGCTGGGATTACAGGCACGTGCCACCACGCCCGGCTATTTTTTTTTTTTTTTTTTGTATTTTTAGTAGAGACAGGGTTTCACCATGTTGGCCAGGCTGGTCTCAAACTTCCGAGCTCATGATCTGCCCGCCTCAGCCTCCCAAAGTGTTGGGATTACAGGCGTGAAGCACCGTGCCCAATCTGACCAGTAGTTTAAATGTGGTCTAGATCAAGAGGTGAATTAAGAAACCTGGTGATGTGAATCCTCTTTCTACACATTGTCTAGTAGGAAAGACTTCATTCAGTAGTAATAGCATAATGAAGGATTAATTTATTGGTTGATTGAATGGTCAATGCAAAGGATTTTGTGGATTATTGTTAATTGTGCAGGAAATAAAAGAAGTAAATTGGCAAGAGAGTAAATTGCCTGTATTTGAGGAAAGACGCTTCACATCTTAACACTAATAAATAAAATATTTTCTTCTAAGTTCCTATTTCTCTAGTATTTTTCCTTAAGTTTAACCCTCCAGAGTCTATGACTGTTCTGGGTGGTAAATGGGTCAGCTCTGGGCTAAATATGCTTTGTTAGAATGGGGACTTGAGTCTGTTGAATTTAATGGGAAGATGAACGTTGACTGAAGCAAAACAAACCAGTTGCCCCTGTGCTTTCTCTAATGGAAGCTGCCTCACCCAACTGTGAGCTTTCTGGCTTGGCCATCACTGCAGTTTTAGGAGAGGGCTGCTGTTCCTGGCCAGGGCATTGCACTTACCTTCCTGAATTGAGAGCCCATTAATTTTTTTCCTCTCCTTTAGGGACTGATGCTTTTTAACCACCTCTTTGATGGTTCTGCAAAGTCATCACAGAGGGTTGGGAATGGTGGGCTGGTGTTTTCTGCCAGTTTTAATTAAAGTCCTACCAGGGTGTTGCTTCTTTTGGAAGGGCTGGACTATGGTGAGGTTACTGACTTATTTCTTAGAGTTGATGAACTCATGGTATTAAAATGTTACCTAATTTTTTTCATGGACTCTGTAGGATCATTTAGATGTAGCATTTGCAAGAACTGCCGCGAAAAGCTTCCCATTAGAAGTACTATACAAAAAGACTGTAATGCATTGAAAATGTGAAACTTAGATTCAAAGAAAAATTGGGGTCTCCTTTTTTTCTTAATCTAAGCAGAATCTTAGCATTTGTATGAAGCATTGAGCAGATTCTCTTAAGCCATTTCTAGCTACAGCTGAGTCAGCTCTACTCTAGCTCTCAGGGCTCCTTAGGAATAGAATAGGGTATAGATAGTCATTGGTAAGTATTTATATATCTGTGCACTGTTTAGAGCAGTGTTAGTGGTACATTAGGAGACTTGAGGACTAAAACGATCTCTACCCACTAGGAACCTACAGTACAGTAGGGGAAATGAAACATGCACAAAGCAATTAGAGAGCAATTCATTCAAAATGAATATGAATTTGGTCAATAGAGAATAATACAGTCAAAATGCATAATTTGTTTTTTGGGGTGTGTGTGTGTGTGTGTTGTTTTTTGAGATAGTGTCTCACTCTGCCATCCAGACCGGAGTGCAGTGGCACAATCACAGCTTACTGCAGCCTTGACTTCCTGGGCTCAAGTGATCCTCCCATCTCAGCCTCCCAAGTAGCTGGGACTACAGGCTCATGTCACTACAGTTAACTAATTTTTTAAATTTTTTGTAGAGATGGGGTCTCCCTGTGTTGCCCAGGCTGATCCTGAACTCTTGGGTTCAAGTGATCCTCTTACCTTGGCCTGCCGAAGTGCTGAGATTGTAGATGCAGTCCACTGCTCCCAGCCTGTATTGTATGTAATGGCTGGAAGGGTGCAGTAAGAGAGAGAAGCAGAGATGAAGTGGAGATGGAATTGAAGGAAAAGGCTTTTCAGAGGATGGATGAGATTTGGAAAGATGGACAGACAGCAAGGACATGGAGAACAGTTGAAGTACCAAGGGCTGAGTGAGTGAGGGACCTGTGGTTGCGAGGTTGGGTGATGGACAATGGGAGATAGGTTCAGTTGGTCACGGCGTGTTTTTTTGAGGAGTAGGGATGAAATAATTATACAAATGACTTTGAAAAGAATTGGTTAAATGGAGGACATCTATCATAAATATGAATGACCATCTGTCTGTCATACATCTTTGATAAAGGTGAGTCTTAAATGCAGAGATAATCCTAAACATTTATATTTGGCTTGAGAATATGTAATTTATTTATTTATAAAGGCAGGCATGCTTGAGGTTCTGAAGTATATACCTGACAAAGTGATGAGATCAGGTATATATCAGTTATTTTTAATTGTTTCTGTGGGCTAGGCATCCTGCCAAGTACTTTACCTATATCATCTCATTTTTAGATAAGGAAACAAAACCTCTGCCTCTCACTGCCCAGTATCACACAGCCAGTGAGAGGCAGAGCTGGAATTCAAGTCCAGGTGCCACATTACTAAAAGGTATTTCATGGTAGGTGAACCTGGGCTTTCTCTAGATCCTCCTATTGGGCTGGAGATTGTGTTGAGGGAAAGCTTGCATTGAGTTGATGACCAGTAATATCAAGTTGTGAATGAGGCAGAGTTTAAATAAGACACACAGCTCTTAAGTAATCTGATCATTGACTGTGGCATCTTTTTGACAAGCTCCAGTGTTTGCTGGGTCTCTAGTGACTTTCTTTTTCTGATTGATAAAAAAGATAAAATATTTTTACACTCAAAATACGCAAGCCATGTGGTGTTTATAGTAAATTAGCACCCTTTTATTTGTGAATAAGTAGAGGAAAAAAAAGAGACCTCTGGGGCTACGGAATTGGGAAGCATTTTCAGTTCAGCCCAGGTGCCATCTTTTTTTTTTTTTTTTGAAACAGGAGTCTTGCTCTGTCACCCACCATCTCAGCTCACTGCAACCTCTGCCTCCTGGGTTCATGCGATTCTATTGCCTCAGTCTCCCGAGTAGTTGGGAGTACAGGCACACATCACCACACCCAGCTAAATTTTTGTATTTTTAGTATAGACAGGGTTTTTACCATGTTGGCCAGGCTGGTCTTGAACTCCTGGCCTCAAGTCACCCGCCCACCTTGGCCTTCCAAAGTTCTGGGATTACAGGCGTGAGCGACCGCACCTGGCTTGGATGCCATCTTTATCACCTAGATAGGAGGGGGTGCCTGAGGTTCTAGTGTCAGGGCTCACTGAGTTGGCAATACATCTGATTAACTCCAGAGAGAGCCCTGCTTGCCATCAAGGCTAGGAAAGAACGTGATGCTCTGGAAGCCTATGACCACAGTTTTGGTAGGCGCAGGTAGTTTCTTGCTGCCTCCATAGTTACAGTTTAACTTGCTAAGGTTGGTAGGATGAAGGTAAAAGATTGCTTCAGGCACCTGCACTATGATTGCCTCAGGCACCTGCACTATGAGGGCTGGGTGGATATGTCAACAGAATGGCCCATCTGTCAGTGCCAGGAACCGGACACCCTGGAGTCCTTCCCAGCCGTTCTTGAATCATCATAAGCTCCCTGAAGCCAGTGCTCTTTCCCTGGGGGGGACCGCCTCCCCTAGCTGCATCCCACAACCCAAAGGGGTTTCTCCCTGTGGGAGAGCTGTCAGAAGGAGTCAGAACAGTAATTACATGCTGACCTGCTTTAAAGATTCATAAATCTGGCTCCCAGCTTTTGTTAGAAATTGGATGGCCTCATTGTCAGCTCAGTTGTGGCTGACCTGTCTGTCCCAGGTGAACAGTGAGATCAAGTACTGGTGAAGGCTAGCAAGTGTTTTAATTATCCCTTTTTATGTGATTAGCTGAAGAGCTTCTGACAAGTCAGGGTAGGATAGGTGATCACTCTGTTGACTTAAGGCTAACCTTGCTGTGAGTTCTAGCACTCTGACTCATCTCTGAGGGCCCAGAGTAGCTGCTGTTTGGACAGTGTGAAACTGATGAAAAACAATTCACAGAGGTGTGGGAAGAGAATAAAAGCCCTGTTAACGTTAG